ATAGAGACAATGAGGTATTATGGTGACTGTAGTTAGAAAGGTAAGTAAGAATGCGTTGTTGTGGTATGTTTGGGTTAGTGTTTGTGGCTAGCTAAGTTTAAAGTTAAGACAGATGAGGACCCATCCTTTTTCCCCATTCCTCATTTTGGCCTTGTGCCACATTTTGTAAATATTTAGAAATAAATATCGCTTTTCGCTATGGTACCTAGACTTTATGAATTTAAGCGTAGTACTAGATTGGCGATGAGGTCTCATCAAATTACAATCTATTTAGCTAAATGTAACCGTAAGTCCTATGCTAACAATTTCTTCTCCCGCAATTCTCCCTTGTGGAACTATCTTCTGATTTCTTGCATTTTAGATATATTTGATATTCAAAAATTTAAATGCAATCTCAATCGTTATCTTAATTCTTGTTATTTTATTTTTCTCAATCCTTAATAATGTTTGTCTTTTTCTTATTCTTCCTAACATCCATGAGAGTGACGCGTTGCACCTTCTAGGACAATATATTTAGATTCCCCCCCAAAGAATCTGCAATGTTATTTGTCCTGGCATGGCATCTCGGCTCCAGTCTTTTTTCAACCGCCATAATCTAGCTTCCCTAAACCTTTTCTATAAATATTTTCATGAAAATTATTTGGATGAGCTCTTCGTTATAATTGTTGTTTTATTCCCCTCCTCCCACAGACAATGAATTTTACATTTGGGGACTAGTTAGGATTTTCATAGAGACATGAGGTATTATGGTGAATGTTGTAAGAAAGAGAAGAATGCGTTGTTTTGATGTAAGGAATATTGTATTATGTTTGGGTCAGTGTTTGTGGCTAGCTAAGTTTAACGTTAAGACAGAACAAAACCGTCCTTTCCTCATTCCCCATTCTTGACCTTGTGCCACATTATGTAAATATTTACAAATAAATATCGCTGTTCGCTATGGCACCTAGACTTCATGCAGTACTAGATTAGCAACAAGGTCTCACCAATTTACTATTGAAATTATCTAGATGTAAGCATGAGTTCTATTCTAACAGTTTCCTTTCTCTCACTTTTCACTTGTGGAACTCCCTTCCGACTCCATGCTTTCCAGCCAAATTTGATCTTCAAAAATTTGAATACAATATCAATCGTTATCTTCTTAATTATTGTTCTTTTATTGTTCACTCTCTCTCTTTCTCTGATGTGGTTTAATCTTTCCGTAGAAACTGCCTGCTGTATTAAGGGAATTTTTCAATTACAGCTTATTCTAAAATATAAAAAAAAAGAAAAGACTGGCTTGCACTTTTTGTTTCACATTAAATACATAGCTGACTATTAAGCTCTACAAATTTCTATTCTCACTTAAATATTTTGATTTCGGTGCGCTCACACACATACAGTGGCGTAGCTAGAGTAAACGTCACCCGGGGCGGTCCGCTTAACTGTCACCCCAATGAACCCGATTCACCCTATGCTGAATGGTTAGCTGTATCTAAATTTTCATACATGCTCTACCTCTACTTTACTCTACTGACCGGCACGTTACTGTTTACATGTATGATCCAAGACAAAATCCAATACCACAAAATAATCAGTTCAAATCAAAAGCTGAAAACATTGCTATTTCTCCTACTCACAAATTTTCCGACAATTTATTAGAAAATTTCTGACAGGGGGACAAAACTGAGGGTTCATAAATTATTTCTGGGGGATCATATGCCCGCCTGCGAAACCCTCTGTCTCTACCACTGTTTTCAGACTATTTTTGGCACCTTAGCCTGGTTGAAAAAAGTTGTTGGGGGTGACATTGTGTCTCCTCTCCTGTACTGGCACCCAGGGCGGTCCGCCCCCTCGCCGCCCTAGCTACGCCACTGCACACACACACACACACACACACACACACACACACATATATATATATATATATATATATATATATATATATATATCCGATGCGATGAGAACGAAAGTAATATATAAATTCCAACGTTCACAGCATTAACCCAAAAGAGGGCTCGATACCGATAGTATAGCGATAATTATTTATTTATTATAATTTTATCATATAGACAAAACTATTTATTTTACACACTACAAAGATGCAACTTGGCTTCAGTGCATTTCAACTGCACTTCGACTGGTGAGAATCGAAAATGGTTATGAACAATCCTGCTTGTAGGCAAGCTGTATATGAAACGTCACTTCCTTTTTTTTCCATTTGTTTGAGAAGAAAATATATATTAAAAAAATAGGTGACGGAGTAAAACAATAGTGTTTGTTGATAGCAATTTCGTGAAGAATGGATTGGGTGTTTAATGTTGACTGATCCGTGGAAATTTTTTTTTTTTTTTTGGTGATAAACACCGGTCAAAATTTTAGGCACATCATCTCACAAGCGTCCTAAGAGTGAGATGAAGGGGAGGAAAGATGGAGATAGGGGATAGTATTACGTTTGAGTAGGTAAAAATTGTAGCGATACTTCTAGTAGTAATTGGGAATGTTATTTTTGGGTTTACTATAAAAAATTCTAGAGCTGAATTGCATGTATTTATGTTGGGGTTATCACTACTAATTCTGTAACCAATGAACGTGTTTTGTTAATTAAAATTTAGAAGTGATGATTTCCTCTAAAAAAATAAGGGATAATAATATAACCTTTTATAATCAAATTTTGAAATATTCCTGGATCGTATAGCGTGCGGAATAAGTATGGGTGTAAAACGATTTATCTGAAAATATTACCAGTAATATATATGAAAAAAAAAAAATAAGAATCATAATTTAATTAGTGGTGAGATACATAAGAAGGTAGGGAATATATCGAAGGAGGTGATTTATAATTTTAAAATGTTTATAGTTATGGAATTAAGAATTTAACATAATTGTAGTGTTATATTCTTAGTATGTCTACAGAAAACGGTGGTTTCATATCTTTGATTTAATAATTGGGTGTTATTCAAGAGTTCAATGATACATATTTTCTCCTGTAAAAAGAAGCAAGGTTCGTTCAGAGAATTGCAGGTTCTGGCCTGTCTTAGGATTTTTCATTTAACCTGAGGTGTTTTTCCTTCTTTCTTGAATTTCCAAAAATATTTCGAAAGTGATGTCATATTTCGTTTGGCCGGATGTGTAAAGGAGTTCATGTGTTGACCTCACATACAGCTTAATATCTCTCGGGTTCTCATTTGATGAGATATAGCACATATAAACTATGGATATGGTTAAGCACCTGCTTAATAATGGACATTGATCGGGGATTCTACAATTACATAGCCTTTTTTCCTGGGGAGTATCAAATACTGTTTAAAATAAACGGAGCGTCTACTCAAATATGGCTATCCTCTAAAAACGTTTGGAAATATATATATATATATATATATATATATATATATATATATATATATACAGCAAAATTTGGATATTTTGCTGTATAATATATATACTCTGTTTTAATAAATGCATTGAGGTCTCTATGGATCAGTTTTAATATTTGATATTACTAGGATCCACCTGGATTATATACCAACGGATCTATTACCTGTACTATATATATATATATATATATATATATATATATATATATATATATATATATATATAAATTCATGAATCATTCATACAAAATAGAGGTTAATGATTTAAATGGCGAGAATACATCGTCGCAAACAATATAAATATACATCAACCCCGAACCTGTATATGAATGATATGATCCCTGTTTATAAATTCCAGTTGCATAAGGTCTTTTTTAATTTTTACAAGCTTTCGTCTGTTCCACAGACATCATCAGGTATGGAAGTAGATTTTGTTCTTGTTTTTACTTCTCAGTAATAAGAGGACAACGAAAATAGAGATGCAATCCGAAAAAATGCTATGAGAAATGTGTTATTGTTTTTGGAACGTGCGGGTCGCAACGCTGAGCTTGAATTTTAAATTTTAAGGTTGTGCGTTTTTGTACAAATATAGTAATAAGAGAATCTTTTTTTGTACTGGTAGGTTTTCCGTCAATGTGGCATGAACTATATTGTTCAATAATTACAGTAATGTCACACTTATTATCCGAAAGTAATGTCACACTTATTATATATATATATTGCAAGTTGTGGATAGGTTCATGTATTTAAGCAGTACTGTAAAAATGCCAAATATCCTTGCTTATAAAATCTCGTTCGGAATCAAGTTGGTCTATAAAGCTTTCGGAAAACCGGATGGACATCTGCGTTCCCAGCATGGAATTTCATTTGAAACGGAAGAGGAAACGCTACAATATTTGTATTTTCTCCTTATTCTATGCATATGACAATGTCGTATGCATGTATATCCGGATTCCTAATCGGAAACGCATTAAAAGGCTGGGACAATGTTTCCGTCGTATATTGTGTAGTCGGTGGCAAACCTACGTGACGACGGCTGTTGATATCATCTAACGCAGTAAGTCTACTTCAATAATCTCTCTGGTAACTCAGAACATGAGTCAGGATGAAGGACAAAATGATCTCTAAGCAGTCTACTAATTAACCCAAAGCTGGGGGAGAAAAGGTGGATTCATACGCTTCCCAATGCTATTTCTAACCAGTTTCTGTAAAATGACCGAACTTAACTAAAAACAGCACACTACCCGAAAATAATGTATAAAGATTGCATCAAGATTTATTGATTTGTTTTTTACAGTTTATCAACCTTTTGCGCGTTATTTAAAGCTACAGAATATTTTTAAATTGTAAGAATTATTTTTTTGAGATAATAATTATTTACTGATACAAGTCTCACTGATTAATCCATAGCTGGGTGTGCAGGAGATGTGGATTTATACCTTTCGCAAGTGAATATAAAGAACCGGATCGACTGGAATTGGAACACGGCACTCCGATTTCCAATTTCGAACCGTTATTACACCATCCGCACATCCAAGACTACTCGGTACTAATCAGGTCCGACCTTGTTTAACTTTGGTGACCGTACAGGTACCGGTTTTTCAATGTGATGTGGCCGTAAGCACTTTAGATCACCCACACATCCAGGCTTACAGCATCTGATATTCCCAAGCGGTCGCCCATCTTGGTACTGACCAGGCACGATATTTCTTAACTTCATTGATCATACGAGAACCGGTGCTTCAGTGAGGTGGTCTGAGGGTTCTGCTATATATTTTGAAATTCTTGCTAAAATCCAATGAATAATCTGCAATATTATTGGTCCTGCTCTGGTATCTCGGCTTCAGTCATTCCCCCATCGCCGTAATTTAGCTTCCCTGTGCCCTTTTCTGTAAATATTTTCACTTTCCGCTATGGCACCTAGACTTTATAAATTTAATTGCAGTACTAGAATGGTGGCAATGTCTCATGATTTTACAGTTGAAATGGCTAGATGTAACCATAAGTTCTATGCTAACAGTTTCTTAATCTGATAAGTATGTTCATGGTAATTGTTTTGATGAGCTATCCTCTTCGGTACATAGACTTTAGGAATTTAAGTGCAGTACTAGATTGGCAGCTAGGTCTCATCATTTTACAGTTGAAATGGCTAGATGTAATCGTAAGTTCTATGCTAACAGTTTCTTAATCTGATAAGTATGTTCATGGTAATTGTTTTGATGAGCTTTCCTCTTTGGTACCTAGACTTTATGAATTTAAGTGCAGTACTAGATTGGCAGCTAGGTCTCATCATTTTACAGTTGAAATGGCTAGATGTAATCGTAAGTTCTATGCTAACAGTTTCTTCTATTGCACTTCTCGCTTGTGGAACTATCTTTCAGCTTCTTGCATCCCAATCAAGTTTGGTCTTCAAAAATTGAAATACAATAATAATCGTTCAGCATCTGTCTATATTTCTGAGATGAGGTATTATGTACACTATTTACATTATTCGGACTATTGTCTTCATCTCTGTTGCCATATTTATTACAACGTTTCGGCCCTTCAGTATCTGTCTATATTTCTGAGATGAGGTGTTATGTACACTGTTTACATTGCTCAGACTATCATCCTCATCTGTATTGCCATATTTATCACAACGTTTCAGCCGTTGTACGCCCCGGCCTTCTACAGGTTGTTGGAATATTTTACACGCCATATTGACAATTGACTCCAGATGCATGTCCCACTTTGCTGACATCATTCCGTCTATCAAATGAATGATTTCCACTTTCATTTCTGTTATGGAGTGATTTCACAGTGGAGGCTTGTATTTGTACTAAGTCGGTCCTAAAATAAGTTCGACGTACAAAACTTTAAGAACTTGATATAATCGGTATGACGCAGAGTAATCTAGTTGTGGTCGCTGATACTTTAGTATCCGATTAACGGTCATCCGGCATTGACTGACTGACCGACCCACTGAGCGAACAGCTCGTTACTCTTACTACTCCTATTTATTATAGGTGGGAGAGTCTATTAACTATAGAATAGGTGTGTTCCACTATAACAATTTCGATGCAAGTTTCGTTTGTTGATTACGTTTTGTTTCAGGACGTTTAAAGTTAATTAACTTAACATCCGTACCTGCTAAATCTTAGAAACCGGAAGCGATGGGTCTTGTGTCTTTAGAATCGTTAATACACAAAAGACGTTAAGCAGAAACAAAAAAAATGGCATTATTTTACTTAGATTTCATAAGCGTGGTGCTAGATTGACAGCTAATCTCATAATTTCAAAGAGTGTGAGTTCAAGACCTGGTTAAGGCGGTGGAGAGGGGAATTAACAGGAGATAACTGATAACTGACATCCATTAGACATGGCACGTGGAACTAGAACAGTCTACCCAAATAAAGTGTTTAATTCGACATTCCAACCACCTGAAGAAGGACGGAGCGTACAACGGCCGAAACGTTGTGATAAATATGGCAAAAAAAAAGATGAGGCCGATAGTCCGAACAATGCAAATAGTGTACATAATACATCATCTCAGAAATATTGGAAGATACTTCATAATTTCACATTTGAAATTAGTAGTTACCGCAAGTTCTATGCTAATAGGTTCTTTTTTCGCCCTTCCCCCTTGTGAAACTCTCGTCCGACCTCCTGCTTACGATCTTCAAAAATGTAAATACAACATTAATCATCATCCTCTGTCTCCTTGAATCGTGTTCTGGTTCCCGTACGATCATCGACGTTAAGCAACGCCGAGCCTGTTCAGTACCTAGATGGGTGACCGTTTGGAAAACCAGGCGCTGTAACCTTGAATGTGCGAATAGGGTAACGGATAATGGCTCGGAATCGTTAAGAGCCGAGTTCTAATTCCTGTTGAGTCTGTTATATTCACGTACGCGCAAATGCCCTTGGGAAAGATGTCAATCCATCTCTTCTCCTTTCCAACTATTGATTAATTACTAATACTTGTATCACAAAATCATTATTGTCTAAAAAAAAAATTCTTAATATTTTCTGGCTTTAAATAACCTGCAATGGGTTAATAAGCCATAAAAAACAAATAAATCAATTGAATCGTGTTATCTTATCTTTCTCAGTTTCTCAATAATCCCTAGAATCTTATTTGGCTTTCATAGATTTTGCTTGGTTGAAATGATTAAATAAGGAACGTCGGATCTTTCCAGGGCCAGAAGGTCGGTGGTGTCGGTTTATAAAAAGGTAAGGTTATTCAGTACATCCAAAAAAAACAAAAAAAAACATCCATTGCATAGGAAAAGTCCGCTGCTTATGAAAGAAAATGTCAGGTTGTTGTAAGTGTGGCAAATGTAAATGCACGAAAGGTACGTTATTTTGGACTGAGCCAAATAAGGAATGTCGACAAAGTTCCACTAACATTTAATGTCCCATTCAGCTATCCTGGAGAGGGATGAGCTCCGCCAGGTTAAAAAGCCCAAGACACGCCACATGACGAGCACGCCAAGAAACCGTTGGCGGAGACCCAGGCTCTACCATAATGGTAGACAGCTCAGCACATCGGCGCCCAAACGTCTTCTTCCAGGGTGGTGGTGGTGGTGGTGGTGGAGAAGAAGAAGAAGAAGAAGAAGAAGAAGAAGAAGAAGAAGAAGAAAATATAGGTAATTGGTGGATGAAGAGGGAAAATAATAGATAGATAGAGATAGATAGATAGATAGATAGATAGTCTTTTTTTTTTAAATTAATTGATGACACCACTAAAGTACAAGTTTCACTTACATTTGATGTCCCATTCAGCTATCGGGGAGAAGGATGGGCTCCGCCAGGTTAAAAAGCTCAGCAGGTCGACGCACAAACGACTACTTCAAGGGTTAAAGAAGAAGAAGAATATAAAGAAAAGTTTTTGAATATACCCTGTTGATATGGTAGTGCGATATGCCTGTGCGTCTTATAAACCATTGGAATTTAGTTTAATAAGTATAGCAACAGATAGCTTTGGTTATGAATACAATGGGTTTTCGTAAATTTTTCTAGTCAGAAATATTTGTCTTACCTTAAGAATTTCCAATCCAAATAATAATTGTTTACTTTTACAGCCGAGTCTTGTATTAAATATGTCTATCTATAAAAGGCAGGATGTGTGTGTGTGTGTGTGTGTGTGTGTGTGTGTGTGTGTGTGTGTGTGTGTGTGCGTAACGAATGCACAGCCATTTGCACCAAAATTTACATGCACATGCTCCAAGTTAGCAGGAAGGCCAAAGCCGACTTTGCATTTCCCAACTGCCATCGATAGTGGAAATAATCGATTTTTTCATGCTTCTACGGCAGTTTTCATGTAGTTTGCGGCCATTTTCTACTGGCCAGAGTCAGAGCCTATAGTTGGCTGCCACGAATAGGCAGGAAGATTCTATTGGTCAGCGTGAGAGCCAACAGCTGACTGACACGAATGTTAACTAGCATGCTAGCATGCAAAAAAAATCGATAGCTGCATTCGTCAAAAGTGGGAAAAATTTAAATCTGCATGGCACTTTACTGCAATTGGCTCATTCGCTTGCTTAAACTCAACGTTGATTCTGATTCCGCAGAATTGGGTTGGGTGTGAAAAAATATTTGTTGTTAACTTTCTTTTTTCATTCGGTTTTTCCAGTTACGAGTCCTTTTTTAAAGCTGATCGTTTTGTATTCATTTTGTTTAGTTCTTTTTTCGTAACAGATTTAATGTTTAGTATAGAGCTTAGAAAAATTCGCAGTGTGAGATAGGCAAGAAGTAAGGCATGTAGCAACATCAGCACGGCAAAGGGTACTCCTTTAAAGACAAGGAAGGGCAAAAATATTTTAAGTCAAGTGACAGCGATTGCTGTATGAGTCGAACGATTTTTGAATCAAGCACGGACAACGCCGGACCATGCTGCTAGTAGTATATAATTGCCTTTGGATGCGTGATTGAGTGGTCAGACCGTTTGTCTTCTGACCGTGAAAGCCCAGTTCGAATCTCAGTATAGTCAATTTCTCAATGAGCAGGACTTTTTGAGAAGATCCTAGATGAGTCGGTTTCTTGAGAAGGCAACAACGTGCGGAAAGTAACTGAAAACCATACTAGGGGTCGACCCAAGCCTTTTAAGTGAAATAAAGTATATGGAACTGTTTACAAAATTGCCCGAATTAATCGTGATCCAGGGACTGGGCGTACTTGCTCAAAGTTTTGATTTTACCAAGTTATGCGCTCTCTGTCCCAGAAACTATAATTAGGTCCTGCTCAGAATAGTGGCCCTATAAACCGAAGGTGGGCTCTGTGGGTGTTAGACAATCACAGATTTTCCTGAACAGGCGTTTGTCTCCGTAACTGACGAGCAAGCTCTAAAAAGAGCAGCTGGCCAACAAATATGTCCTTGATTGCGTCAGATATTAATAACAAGCCAAGAGGCTTTGACATTTCAATGGTTTTAAGAGAATGTCTTAAATGTCTTTTTCACTTACCTGCCAGTAATTAATGATACTCGAAGCGGGACTCTGTGCTCTAAAGAGATTATCCAGGACAGACAATAATTTCTGCAAACTGTGACAATTACTGGCCGATACTTAACACATAGCCGAATGGTTAGAACGGTCTCTTTCCGATCATGAGACCCGAGTTTTAATTTCATTATAGACGCGTCAGGAAGGAGACTTCGCGAGCTTGATGTAGTGGCGATCCCAGCGTGCTGTACCTTTAGAGAGTGCCTAAAAAGCCATACCACGGGTTGGCCCAAGCCTTATGAGTGAAATTTTGCTGACAATGCTATTTGATAGTCGTCGATGGTTCGAACAGCACGAAGTCGCAAGTCATCGTGACCGAGTGTTGGAGCGTACTGCCTTGATCAAACTGTTGATCACGCCAGATAATGCGCTCTCAACAAACTAATGTTCGCTCAGTATAGTTGCAATATAAAGCATAGGTAGGCTCTGTGGTTGTTGAACAAGCACAAATATGCCTGAGCAGGTGTCTGTAACAGGGATTAGCTAGCCGTCTTCGTAGACAGGCATACTCGTTTACGAAGAGCCAACCTTTACTTTTATTACATAACACATATTCTTATATACAAGGTGTATCAAAAGTACTTTTACAAACTTTGGGGATGGGTTCCTTGGACCAAAACAAAGACAAAAGTCTGTAAAAACATATGTTCGTTTTTGAGTTATTAAGTTTAGAGTTTAGCCTGTAGAATTCGTTCTTCGTGGTTAGGCGTAAGAGCGGATGTCGGTCTTCCTCGATCCAGAATTTGTGGTCCCACGGATCCTGTCTAAGCAACGCGACGATAAACAGCAGCGAAGGTTGGATGACTCAGCTGCTTTTCTTCTAGAAACGCAATCAGATACAGCCGTGCAGCCTCGTGTACATTACCATTCGCGCAGCCGCATGTAAACATCATATCCAATTACTCATGCCATGAACATCCTACCATCGTTAAACGGAACACTTCTCAGTTAACTTGCTACGACACATGTTAAACGTTGATGACAGACTAGCAACAAATATACACGAATGACAAATGTAACCTAGTCTAGTAAGGTTTAAGGTAGAGATGCTGTGTTGCAAATGGCAACACAGCATCTCTACCTTAAACCTAATTTAAACTTAACTCAAAAAAATGAAGGATTTGCGGGGATATGGTTATGTGGACTTGTGTCCTTATTTTGGTGTGAGGAAACGGCCCCAAAGTTTGGAATTAGTCTCTGTTTATCCTGTTTATTGTCCATTTTCTTCCCTTCACACCCAGTAACCTCTTGAACACTTGTGGCTTTTCATTGCCTTGCTTGATCAGTCAGTTATGGGCTATGCGTGATAAAGACTTAAGTGATCATGTATCTTTCGATACATGACTGACGAGGCAGATTTTTTTTCCCACAGTAGATTGCCATTTCTTTCTGCGGTAGACCAGTTGCTATCCAAGGCTATAGAAACTTCTTCTTCTCCTCGCCCCGGCTATTTACCCATAGCTTGGTGGGAGAAAAAGAGGAGTCATACCTTTCCCAAGGGTATTAGCACATAAGTGAATATAATGGATTCGACTTGTTAATTCGAACTCGGATCTCCGATTCCTCAATCCGAGCCGTTATACAATACTCCACCGTGCCTCCTTGTAAGTCCATATAACCATATGCCCGGTGGGGGGAATAATTAAAAAAAGAAAGATCTCTGATAATAACCCTTTTCCCGGCGTAGACGTGTATATACGTCTATGAAAAAGTCCTTTTCAGACATGGACGAATAAACACGTCAAAAACATAATGTTTAAAACCTAGTTACAGACGTGATTATACATTGATTTTGATTCTTTTTGTGTCCATATGATCTTGAAACTAGTCCAGTTGTAAATTCATACGTCTGTTAGAGTTGTTAGCTAGCGATCTGGTATTTCAATGTGCCACATTTTCTTAGTTACTATATTAAAAACAAATAAATGTGACCGTCTGAAAATGAAAACTTTTTCTAAAAATAACTGCCGAGGAAAGGGATAAATCAGATTAAATTTATCGGTAAATTTTCAGTTTCTCTCTGAAATATAAACGGGAAAAAAACAAGACACTGCCTGGGGTCAGAGAAACTGGGCACATCCAGACGTCTGCCCTCAAATGTCTAGAAATTATGGACTTTTTTGTTGACAAGTTCAACATATGGACATTGCTTGATTTCCGGATATTAAAAAAAAACAACATCTGATGTAAATTTTTTTTTACACCACATAAATATTATTTTCAGGCAAGACTTGATCTGGGTTTCAAAGAAATCAGGCTTTATATCATCACATATTGATGACAAGGAATTGTCGATGCAACTGGCTGTGACAAGGATAGACACAATTGACAGGTGTTCAGACATATTCGCATCACTTCATTATGCAATACCCTTTCTTGTTCATTATCTATCTATCTATCTATCTATCTATCTATCTATCTATCTATCTATGTCTGGTCATATCGATCTATTTCTGTGTTTATCTATCTCTCTTTCTCTCTCTCTCTCTCTCCCCATATATATATATATATATATAGAGAGAGAGAGAGAGGGAGAAAGATATATATATGTTATATACATATATACATACATACGTAGATATGTATGAATATACATCTATCTATGCCCGTTTCTACTATAATTATATCTATCTCTCTATCCATCTATCTATGTCTGTTTCTACTCTCTGTATTATATCTGTGTCTGTGTTTTTCTTTCTAACTATCTATCTATCTATCTATCTATCTATCTATCTATCTATCTATCTATGTTTGTTCATATCTAGACTGCGTGCCAAATTATTATCGAGATAACATTTTTTATAATATTTCAAAGACCGTCCAATCAATTCACACAAAATTTACACACAATGTTAGCAACACTGACCTGCGCAATTACTGAAATTTACCAGTTTGTTTACATTGTGCAGATCAGTACGAAAACTCCAGTGATTGCGCAGGACAGTGTTGCTAACATTGTGTGTAAATTTTGTGTGAATTGATTGGACGGTCTTTGAAATATTATAAAAAAAGTTATCTCGATAATAATTTGGCACGCAGTGTATATCTGTTCATATCGATCTAAATCTGTATCTATTTATATGTATGTATATACATCAATCTATCTATGTATCTATTTATGTCTGTTTCTACTGTCTGTATATGTATGTCTGTGTTCATCTATCTATCTCTAGCTATCTCTCTGTATCCATCTATATGTATGCCTATCTATCTATCTATCTATCTATCTATCTATCTATCTACTATCAGAGGCTATTCATTACTTCCCCCCTCTATTACATTCCGTTCATGTCTATCTAACTTGATGCCTCCGTAGCTATTACAAACATGACAGGTGTTCAATCTCATCATTCAACTTACCCGTTCCATTGCATCCCAATTCTTTATCTCAACGCCTCTTCAGTTAAAACACAATCGTTCTATTTTTTTTTTTTCAGAATAATAAAAGAATCCCGTCCTTAGAAAGTCATTTCTGGTTTTTTTTTCTGTTCATTTGCATTATAACAAAAGCCTTCAGAATTTCACATCGCGTCAAGCATCTTTTATTTTCAGTTTCTTTTTAGAACCAGTTTCCTTTCTACTACAATCACTTCCGTCTTTATTTTAATTTCCTTTGCAAAAGATTCCCATTTTGCTTATGATATTCTGCATGATAAACTTTCCTGACATTTTATACAGCATCTGTTTTTTTTTTTTTGGGAGGGGGGCATATTTTTGTGAACATTTTTTTTATCTTAATCAAATGAAAATTGATTTATATGACATTTCCTCGAACGACGGACAAGAACCGTTAAATATTTAATCGGTGGTCGGTGGTCATCTAGGAAACCGAAAGAGAAAAGTAGGCATGGAGAAACTAGCACTCACAGGGCATACTGAATACTTTATATTATTATGATTTTAATATCTTGAAAAAATATTAAAAAAACATAATAATAAAATTTTAAATCAATACAAAATCGAATTAATAATTGCCATTCCAAAGCAACAAACGCTAATAATACCAACATGTGTAATTGTAAAAATGCCATTACAAAATAAATGTCAAACTGGTTCCCTTTTTTAACTAAGTACTATTTCTACTATAGAGATCCAGCAGTTAAAAAATTTATATCGACTGTACCAAGAATACCTTTAAAACTAAATGGTATCAGCATATATTATCTTTCAACAACAACGCGTACAAAAATATGACGTCCCTTTCTAAATATTTTTGGAACTTAAAAGAAGTTAACAAAACCCCTGCGATAAAATGGAAAATATTTAAAAAAAAAACTAGAACTTGTAAATCTTTATATGAACTATGTTTCCTCTGTTTACAGGAAAAAAATCAAATAATCAAATTTCCTAACAAAAAAGCTCTGTTAAACCAAAGAAGTGAATTAACAGTAAAATGCCGACACAGTCTATCGTTTAATATAGTTTAAATTTTTTTAAACAATTATGTATTACAACTTTATAGCCATAATTTTACTAGTATATAACGGTTCACCTTCTACGAACAATTACCTCATTTGGTTTATTCGACTTTAATATTGGTATATTTTTCCGTCTATTTAGTATTATTAGCATCGTATATAGTTGTTCCACATTTTTAATTTTATCTACTGGCCCCTTTAAGAAGCTTCCTGGATATAATTTTTTTTAAAAAAATGTCTGATAACTTTACGTCTGATCAACCTACCCCACCACGTCAACAAATGGAACGCCATATTTGGCTACATCCATGATACATTTGTCGCTGCCATATTCTACACTATCGTCAAGGATTCCATGTCTAAGCGCCGGTTTATCGTGATAAGAAAAAACTCACACACAACCACCCACTGACCTTATTTTCTATTTAGCGTAGACCTGACATTTCATTGGTTAATCGAGACATACCACAAGTATAATGTTAATTCTGACCTTATGCCCCCACCTTTAACTTTCGGAAAAGAGATAACGATTTGTTTGTAAATTTCCCTAAAAAATCATTTTTATCACCAGTTACCACTCATCGCCTGAGGAAGTACAATAATAGCATTGAAACAGGAAAGCTTTTGTGCAGCAATTTAAAATGTTTTAATAATAATAATAATAATAATAATAATGGTAAGAATGCATCGAATATTAGAGAAAGAAATTTTGAAATGCTTAGTTTTTTTGTTGTTTTTTGTTTTATTTTGTTTTTATGCTAACTGTTTTACGTTTATTTTATCGATAGAAGAAAGCATAGGAATTTCTTTTCAGCTGAAAATAACCAACTCACTGCCCATTATTTAAGGCAATACAGGCCATCGGAAATGTGACCAAGCCTACAGTTTGTCTGTCCTCAGGCCTGACGATTGCGTCTAGCATGAAACAGCCTGTCGCCTCTAAGAGTTCAATGTTCACTTTTATATTTACACACGCTCTATCTCTGATATTGAGCACTTTATCCCATAAATATAGCACACCTTAAGACTATATTTCTTCATACATATATATATAGATAGATGTTTTTATAATCTTTTATAATAAAAGTACAATCTACCTATCTATATATATATATATATATATATATATATAGATATGTATGTATATATATATATATATATATATATATTATGCTCTTGATTGTATATCATATAAGATATATATAAGATATATATAAGGTATATATATATATATATATATACATGTTATATATATAAATGTAATATATATATATATACATATAATATATATGTATATATATATATGTATATATATATATATATATATATATAAGTTTTATATGTAACGTAAAAATTCCGCCAATTATTTTGATATATTTTCTGTTTATACGTTATTTTTATAGATACAAACATTCAAGTAAATGCTCTGTTTATAATGAACAGCATTAACTATATTTACCGTCTTGAATTAAGAGTTAACATCCACTTCGAGCCGATATGAGAGTTCGAGAAAAGTCATGAGAAATTTGTTTTTCAAAAACAATAATTTGACTTTACTAACTAGACGCTTCCTCTGTAGCTAAATGGTGTAGCGTCAGGCTATATGACGGTTCCGTGTAGGATACAGGTTCGATTCCTGTCGTAGGACACATATTTTCTATGAAACATCTCGGCTGGAATGTTGTCATAAGAACAACAAGAACAGAAAAATTTGTTCTCATAAAGCTTAGAATAATTTTAGAGATACGAGTGTCGCTTAAGAAAATGTAAACGATCGCAATATTGTGTCTAAGGTAAAGGTTTCTTAATAATTGATCCCTATTCTTGATGGTCGAAAAAGGAAAGAATCTTACCTTGATTCTGACTGTTAAAGTACTCATAAGAATTTTCTTACCTGGAAAGAAAAAAAAATTATCATTCAAATTTAATGATATTCATTAAAAATATTAAGAAATATAATAAATTGTGGCACCATTTTTTGTGAAACCCAATCCACTTTGACCGAAGGGGAACGGAAAAGTAAAGGAGTGAATGAGAGCTTTTACAGACCAACCGACAACAAACAGGATATTGATTATTTCTGAGTGCTGGCCAATATTAACAGTCATACTTGGGATCGAAGCAATCATTGCCGGTTCGCGTTTGTGGTTCCGATGCCATACGTTCGTATTCTCAGTGACACGTCGCTGCTTGTAGGCAGACAGGGAGCTGGTAGCGGGAAAAGCTGATCTATGTGATCGACACAGCAGAATTTATCCCAAGTGCCACCTCCCTACCTACCTAGGCGAAGACCTTAATAAAATTTTATATAATATGGGAAACAGGGTTCGCGTTCTTGTGATTTTTTTGGTTTTTATCTTCATTATTTTGTGAGCATGCAGTGGACCCTTTCCCAGTTTTCGGTGAGGACGGAACGCAACGTGACGAAATCATTTACCGGTCAGTGGAAAGCTTGGGCGAGGTGTCGAGCTGTATGTTTAGAAAAATCTGTTTTTTGTTGTTGGTTACATTCTCTGTGATTCTCTAATGACAGTCAACGAGGCCCGACGAAAGAGAATTCTTCTTAAAAACGACAGGACTCATTTGTTTTAAAGTTTTTTTGTTTTTTTTTAATCTTGATCTGAGAAAACGTTTGTGGCTCATTAAGCTGATGGAACTCGCATTCTCTTGTCCCTGGATTCTTTGACCGCGCTACGAGGGATCTCCAAAAATCATTCCTATGGCTATCCCACAGATAATCTAGAAGGTTCTAAGGATCGACTGAGGTTAATCCTATGAATCTGCTACGGATAATCCTAAGGATCTACTAAGTTTTAGCCTTCGTAGATTCGAAGGATCGACTAAGTCTAAGCCTATGAATCTCCTATGGATAATCTTAATAACTAGTAAGGATTAAATTTAGTAGATTCTAAGACAGATAATCGTAACGACTTGCTAAGCTTTTACCTAAGTAGATTATAAGGATCGACTAAGGTTAATCCTATAGTTCTGCTACGGATAATCGAAAGGATCTACTAAGGATTAACCTTTGTAGATTCTAAGGATCAACTAAGTCTAATCCTATGAATCTCCTATGGATAATCGTAATAAATACTAAGGATTAAATTTAGTAGATTCTAAGGATTAACTAAGGTTAATCCTATAGATCTACGACAGATAATACTAACGACTTGCTAAGCTTTTACCTTAGTAGATTCTAAGGATCGACTAAGGTTAATCCTCTGGTTCTGCTACGGATAATCCAAAGGATCTACTAAGGATTAACCTTTGTAGATTCTAAGGATCGACTAAGGTTAATTTTATGAATCTACTACGGATAATTTTAAGGATTTACAAAGTTTTAGCCTTTGTAGATTCTAAGCATCGACTACGTCTTATGGATTTACTGAGGTTTAAACGATAGATTTGCTAAGATCAACTCTACGGCTCGACTTAGTTTAATATAATTAAGTACCAATTTTATTTAGAGATCAGCTCAAATTAACAACTGTTGCAATATTAGCGTCGAAATAGCTCTCAAGAAAAAGCAGCCAATTAGTTGTTGTTGTGTCGGAAACCTACCACTCCTCTTGAAGATGAACTTGTCTGCGTCTGTGAACAAAGACTTTAAATAGTGGCATGTCAGTTGACATGGGGGAGACAGATAGACAGAGAAGTTCTTAGCTGAGCTAGTTATTGACTACTCAGGCGATTTCTGTACCTTTTTACTATTAAACCTTTTTATTAAAACCCTTTTATTAACAGTTGTAAAAATTAAAATATACGTGTTATTTGGCGTTTGTCTTTTTTTTTTTTCTACTAACCCCAAATCAACATCATAACTTTCTGGATTTATATTCACCCTTGGAATAAAAAATATTTATAAAGTTTTGTAAAATTAAAATATACCGAAAC